GAATTTGCTAAGGGAGAAAATTGCGATTTTTTAGGCACTTATGAGCAAAAGAACATTGTCGCTGTTTGTCTGCTTATTTATCGTTATGGTAAATTAGTGGCTATCGATGAAACTGCTTTTCCAGTTTGAAGCAACCAAGAAGAAATTATCGAAACTTATCTTTACCAATTTTATCAGAATAATTTACTACCGCAAACACTTTACCTTTCCAAAAAATTTATCGGAATTGAGTTATTGGGAGAAGAATTTGGATTTACTTTAAAGTTGCCTCAGCGAGGACGTAAAAAAAAAGCAATTAACTTGGCTCAACAAAACGCTCAACAAGTTTGACAAAATAATTATTTAAATGAGTTTCAGCAAGTCAACCAGAGTCAAGTGCTAACTGAAATTAGCAACTTTTTGTCTATCCCTACCCCTAATTATATTGAATGTTTGGACATTTCTAATCTTTACAAGCAAGCGGTGGTGGCCGGCTTCTTAGCATTCATTAATGGAAGAAGTAATTTAGCCAAAAGTAAACTATACAAATTAGAAAATAAAATTGAAGAAAACTTGGCTAACTCGGAGCAAAATACTAATCAAGAGAGCGATTTATCCCGAATAAAAAAGGCTTGCTTGGTTCATTACCGAAAACACTTATCAGGACACACACCTCACTTAATAATAGTAGATGGAGGAAAAGAACAAGTTAAAACAGTTCAACAAGTTTTAAAAGAATTGAACTTAAAAATTCCAGTAATTGGATTAGTCAAAGATGAAAAACATCAAACTGCCAAAATAATTACCAATAATTTAAAAACATTAGAATTTGGTAAAAATGAGAAAATTAAAAATTTTTTTAGCAATTGTCAAGCAGAAGTGCATCGTTATGCCATAAACTTCCACCGAAAACTGCACCGAAAAGGTATTTTAAAGAATTAAAGGTAATTTATATAAATTATAAGCGATGATTAATCATTTCGGTTTGTAAATTTCGTACTAGTCACGCAATTTCGCTTAAAATTTTTCTTTTTCCTTTTTTCGATTTAGAACCGGTTTTTTTATTTATTACAGTATTTTCTTCTCTCAATTCTCGCTTTAAATTTCAGGCAAACTTGTCTATTTTTAATTCAGAAACATCAATTTTTCCATCCTGGTTTTCATCGTATTCTTTCAAAAATTCATATACTTTTTCTTCTGTTTTTCATAAATAATCAATTAATTTTGTTCGACCAGTTAAGGAATTTTTGAGAGTTTGGGTTATTCAGGACAATCTGTCTAAATTATCCCCCAAAATTTCACAATCTTTAACCAGTTCTTCTCACTCCCGCTTTTTTACTCCACTTTTTGTGTAAAATCCAAAAAAAAGTGCCTCAATAAGTGGGCAAAATAAACCAATCCCTCCCCCAATTTTAGGAGATCCAACTAAAGAAAGAACACTAGCTCCTACTGCTATAAATCGGTTAACTCAGCGGGCAAAATTAATTAATTTTTCTTGCTTCTTGAACTGCTGAAAATTTTTTAGTTTACTTAGCCTTTTTTTATTTCATTTTTCTAGAAATTTTTCTATACCACGCTGAAGGAAATTTAGTTTATCACAACTTCAAAGTATTATTTCTGATTCCTTTTGGCTTATTACCATACTTTTAGTGCTTTATAAATTAAAGTTTAACCCAAAAGAAAAGTAAACTAACTATCCACTGCTAAACTTTTTGGAGGAACCGGTCGGATTCGAACCGACGAATAGGAGTTTTGCAGACTCCGGCCTTAACCACTTGGCTACGGTTCCATTTTTTTTTTTTTTTTTTGTTCTTTCGTCTTTCCAAATAAATAACAATTCCCAATAGGAAAATAATTAGACTTTTCAATATACTTTTCGAGCCATTCTATCACACTCACAAAAGTATCACGAATTATTTCGTTGCGTTCTTCATTCAT